TGTTATTCGGTATGCAATAACCATTTTATAGTATCGCAATTTCAAACTCCCGAAAGGAAGAAGCTGCTGACAAAAGCTATTCCCAAAAGTTTTATAGCTCCTAACATTTGCATGCCACCGGCTAGTGATTCGGAGACACATCCGCACACAGGTAGGGATACTTTTTTTGATAGAAAAATTGTTTATAATAACAAAAAACTTATCAGATATAGAAACTTCTCACGATAATTCTACTATCGAACAGGAACAAGAATCAACTTTTTCGATGCCTACGCATAATGTAGATAGCAAAATCGGTAAGTTTTAATAATCATTAAAATGTAATAACTACAGTAAGAGTAGCTTTCTCTCAAGTTTAAGAAAACGCTGTTCTAAAATATTAATTAAAAATATTTAATAGGTTCACCGCTGCCTGTGAGAAGCGAATTGCTTCATTCGATTGGAGTAACCAGCAGGAACAAAATGACCCCAAGAAAACGACTTCTATTTCACAAGCTATGCAGCATGAGTAAAGAATTTAAGCAATCTTTTAAACAATAAAACTTTGAATTGTTTAGAAGATATGTCACCGAGGGCGCAAACATTTTTCACATCGCAGCTACGTCAAAAAGGTAAAAATATGCATGAAAGAAGGTGGGATTCTAAAGAAAAATCGTTTTTTTTGGCGCTTTACAAAACGTCACCAAAGGCGTATAGATTTTTTAAAAAGATTTTTAATTTACCGTCAGTTCGCACTTTGCAAAGATCTATCAATTCGTTTACCATCGGACCCGGTACCAATAGTTGTCTAATTAACCAGATGCGCAAAATTTCCTCAAAGATGAAAAAAAAAACAAACTATATTGCAGCTTATTGTTTGATAAAGTGGTATTGATGCCACGTTTAAATGTTAACCGAAATTTAAATAAAATTGAGGCCGATCATGCGTTACTTTTTATGTTACGCGGGATAAATGCAAAGTGGAAGCAACTCGTAGCTTACTACTTTGTCAAATCTGGCATGAAAACTTCTAATTTAAAAMAAAATAATTAAAGATTTAAATACCGTCATTCATAAAAAAACATCATTCAAAATTKTATGCACCATTTGCGACCAAGGAAGTGCAAATAGAGCTGCCATTTCTAGTTTGTGTAAGGACAGTAAATCTACAGAACAGTTTTATTTTTGGGTAAACGATCAGAAAGTTTATCCTTTATTTGACCCACCTCATCTAATAAAATGCTTGCGAAATAACTTTTTACAAAAGGATATTCATTTTGATGGTAAAGTGGCGAAATGGAAACATATCATAGACTTGTATAATGCGGATGAAATGGCAAACCCGGATGGAAAAATTTGTTACAAATTAACCGATGCGCATGTATATCCCGAACGAAAACAAAAAATGAAGGTGAAATTAGCGACCCAAGTTTTTAGTAGGTCGGTTTAGGCTGGCTTATGTTTTCTGACAAACACCGGCATTTTAAATGCTCAAGATACAGCCGATTTAATTCTGTTTTTTGACAAGCTTTCTGACTCGCTAAATTGTTCTTTTAATTCTTCAAAGCCGTTAAGTAGACCAGTAACAACTACTTCGGAACATATTAAATTTTGGGACCATGCCGAAAAATTTTTAAGTAAATTAAAATTTTATAACGGAGACACTTTCACACTTAGGCCTCCTTTAATTAAAAACTTTATTATAACGATTAGAAATGTTCTGTCTCTTTTTAAAGATATGCAGAAGCTTGGATTTAAATATTTATGCACAAGAACCCTCAATCAAGATTCTATTGAAAATATGTTTGAGATTAATAGGGGATTGATTGGTCAAAACCCAAGACCAACAGCGTCTGCATTTAAAGTTTGTCTAATTAATAATTTAGTTTCAAACTCAAATTCAACAAATTGCGAACAGGATGATGCTGATTTTCTTACATGTTTTTTGGATTCGTTTACAATTTCATCTCCATCTGAATTTTTAAATGAACCGAGCACTAATCTTGAATGTGATTCGAAAACCCCCATAATTCAATATCGGCCCATTATAATTAAGCTCCAATTTCTTACAATGAGTAAATTATTTCGGACAAATACGACAGCATACATTACAGGATTTATATGCAAGCGCGTTCTTAAAAATAATTGTTTGTGTTTCAAATCCTATTTTCTAACAGATCATTTTGATGGCAGCCATACTTTTATTCATTTAAAAGATTTTTCTGGTAGTTCTTTAATGTATCCGTCTCCTGATTTAATGAAAATTGTTAATGTCAACAAAAGACTTATTTTTCAACATTTTTTTAAAGTTTTGGAAAAAGGTGATTTATATAGTGTTTTAATGGAATTCTTACACATTTCTATAATTCGTTGCCCTTTGCATGACGAATATAATAATACGGCAGTTTTGAAATGTATTATTTATATTATGTGAAAATATATTTTGCTACTAATCAATCGAAAATTAAGCCAGAAAGATAGCCGCGACAACGCCATAGTGGATCAATATATCCAAAAATGTGCACCCAAATTGTATAAATAGGTTTTCTATTATTATTTTATAGAAAGGCAGATTTCGACATCAAACATTTTGTTTATTTGTTCCTTTTACATGCTTTTGAAGTTTTTACTTTTACTTGTTTATCTTTTATTGTTTCTGTTATATATGTTGATCATTTATAGGGTGTACTTTGTTCTTTCCTATTTCTGTTATTATAAATATGTTTATCATTTATGACTGTTTTTCTTGTTTCTGCTATAATAAATAGTTTTATCATTTCTAGTGTTTTTCGTATTTCTATTCTGTATTTCTATGCTGATGTCCAGCTTTCGTACCATCGCTTCGGTGGTCTTCCTGGGAGTCTTGAGCTGTTAGGTTTTTGGTCTTTGGCGATTTTTGCCAAATCAATTTATCAAATGCTTGGGTAAGATCTATGAAACACATGAACGCCGGTTTGTTGAATTCAATAGCTTTTTCGGCTATTTGGCGGAGTATGAATATGG